GCTCCCAAGTGACAGGCTTCATCCGAAAACATCTGACGCATTTGTTGATGACGGTAGCCACAAACTTTCGTCCTCCAATTGGCCAATACCTTTGCCTTAATGTGCCAAGTAATGCTTGCGGTCCTGCGTGCAAGTATTTTATATGAAAATATACGATGATTGCCTTGGTAACTGGATGATCCTAGGGTAACAATATCGGATGCTTAGTATCGTAGTCCAAGCTTGACTTCTGAAGTCTTCCACCAACGCGAGGTAATCCATCGGAGCTGATTATTGGTCTCAGCGAAATCAGCTTTCAATCAGCCATTTGGACGAGCTTTGCAGCAGGAATTGAGGCCCGTTAGCCCACAGGAAGTACTCCAGCAATTCTCTCGGGGTACAGCCTCGCGATACGACATCCGCCGGATTTAAGCTTGTTGGAACATGGTGCCAAGTCATGCCTTATGTCATCTTCTGAATTTTCGCGATTCTGTTGGATACGAATACGTTGAAATCCCTCGGAGGCTGCCGAATCCACGCCAGTACGATAGAAGAGTCAGACCAGCAATGAAAGTGGCATTCGAAATCGATGGTTTCCTTGACGCTTACGATAAGCTTCGCCAATAAAAGCGCTGCCGGCAACTCCAATCTTGGAATTGTCAAAGCCTTTGAAGAGGCAACTCCCGACTTGGTGAGAAAAGTTGAACAGAAGTTGGTCAGAAGAAGGATCCCAGGCTAGTCCCAGCGCCTTGGTAACAGCTGATCCGTCGTGAAATTGAATTAGCTTCTCCTTATCGCAGTCAGACTCTTCCTCGAGGGCGCGTGCATCATTCAAAAACAATTTGCGGATTGGAAAGTGGCCTCGCGACAAAAGCTCCTTCACCTGAAGACGAATTTCTCTAACCTTTTCAATTCACTCCCACCTGAGATTAAATCATCCACGTATAAGTCGCTACGAACGATTTTTGCTCCAATTGGAAACGATTCCTCCTCATCATAAGAGAGCTGATGCATGGCTCTTATAGCCAAAAAAAAACAGCTGGATTGGTACCATAAGTCACCGTGTTTAGTTTGTAAACACTCAACTCACCCGTGGACTTCTCTCGCCAAACAATACCCTGCAAAAAGTCATCCGGGTGCGACACACGCACGCAGAGGTACATCTTGCAGATGTCTCCACAGAGGGCAACTTAAAATAATCTAAAGCGAAGCAGAATGTTAAAGATTTTTTACTGAATTGTTGGCCTTGCAAGAAGCAAGTCGTTCAGAGAGCTGCCAGAAGTAGTTCCAGCAGACCCACCCGAAGCTTTGTGCTTGTACTTTCCTGCTTATGTACACAATGGTGTGGCAAGAAGAATTGTGGTACTGTTGAATCCTTTGGTGCGAGAGACATGTGGCCTAAGTCGATATACTCCTGGAGAAAAGCCGAATACTAAGCTTTGAGAACAGGGTTTCTATCTAGCTTAGCGTCCAAACTCCTAAAACGACAACTAAAACGACAACGCATAAATGAACTAACCCTATTTTTTACATAGACAATAGCAGTTGGCAGCAACACGTAATTTATATTTGAAGCATTTGGTGGAGGGTGCGATAACTGACGATCAGGTTGTGAGCAGGACACTACTGCTGATGAAGTAGATGGTGATGGCTGAGAAGTCATATGCAATAGTGCGTGGTGCTTCTTGCGACAATATCTGCAATGAGTTGCTTTGCATTGCTGCAAACTATGCCCCTTGCGCAAACAGTTCAGACAAAGGTGCATTTTCTTGGCTTCTCTAAATCGAAGACTCAAATTTAAAAATCGAGAGCACTTTCTCGATGCAGGCACCATCCGCTCGCAGAACAAAAACCAAAGCTGATTTGGTTTGAAGTTTTCTGAACCACTTAAAAGCAGTCGGTGTTTTTTGTGACACCGACTGCGATATGCCCTGTTCGTATCTCAGTAGATTGATTTCTATTAATTGGATTACATACTATATGCAAAACATTTTACTGCTACTATGAATATGAATTTGTAAACCAAAATGTAATTTATGCTGAAATATTAAAAAATATACTTTAACATATAATATTCTTATTTTTATCATTAACCCAATAGTGAAAACGCCCAACCCTGTATGAGAATGCATGAACACGCAAACATACAAAGCTCAATGCAAGCGCAGGGCAACCTTCTTTAAAATGCGCCTCTCTGCGACTGAACGACGGAACTCGAGTAATGAGCGTGCGGAGTCAAATTGAGAATAAGAATGAGAGCGAAAAAAACCAGAAGACACACGAAGTGTCCGGGGCATGATACAATAACATAAGGTAGTCTCGTCGGCAAAATCTGGTACCTCTACTATTATAACAGTGAGTGCGAGTGAAATGGGAACTGTTTAGTAAGTGCGAGCAGAGCGACAATAGAATGTGTGGATTAACCCTTAGATGTTTCAGTGTTTTTTTTTGCCTTTCATAATTAGGCCAAATTGAGGTTTTGCGAATGCCACTGGGTTTAAAGACGGCTCCCCAGGTATTGCAACGATTTGTTAATGATATTTTGGATGTCATGATAGTATACATGGATGACATTGCAATAAGAGTATTAAAGAACATTTAGAAATATTAGTAGACATATTTAGGAGATTAGTGGAAAATAAATTATAGCTAAGAATAGATAAATGCAAGTTTCTTCAAAATAAGGTAGAATATTTTGGTTTTCTTATTTCAAATGAAGGAATAAAATCTCCGCAGTTTCCACATTTCTTCTTTTGGGGATCTTCCTTGTTGGCAGGGCAATTGGCGGAATTGTGAAAGTCTCCACAAACTAACTACACATACTGATCGAAGTGTCCAGTATGTTCTGATGTGTCCATACTATTGACAGTTTGTACATTGAACTGGGCCGTTCCTTATGTGGTTCTTCCACCTTAATGCTTCGGTGCAATAGGTATTGCAGGTTATAGATGGGGTGCACTTCATTTTTCTTCAAGACTCTGATGTCTGGCTCCAGCTCTACTTTTAAAAGTGGTTGCGGATTTTGTTGCTGTTAATGATGTTACTAACGTTCTTTGCAGAAAAACCATTTTCTTTGAGGGCAACGATAACTTCTTTGGGGGTTACGACGGGCTCGATCCCTTTTAGTACAACTTGCAAGCCCTTGCTGCTTTTAAGTTGGTACGTGTAGTAGTTTTTCTTAGCTTCCTCCAGGTATTTAGACACAGCTCGAAAATGTTCTTCGGATTTGGTCTAAAGTTTGGTTTCGTTAATATTCCCTTTAGCGATCGGAACAACATGAAAATTTCCGTCCCCGACCAGCGCAACAATTTTGTTGATCAGGGCGTTCGAGCTTTTCTGCCTGATGTAAATTGGTGGGGGCTTTGGTTTCGGTTGGTTCTCTTTACCCAGTTTTGGTTGAGTTTCAGCTAGGAGGGCAAATCTGTTGTAATTGGATCTCGGTTTATTTTTGGCTTATAACCCATCGCGGTGTTATATTATATTTGGCTCTTGTGAAATGAATTTAATTAAATTATTGGCATCTTCTAAAGGTTCAGCTCCAGTCATTCCTAATTATTTCACTTAAATTTTTGTTTTTGCATTTAAGCGGGAATATACCTTTTTCATTTTCAAAAAATCGAAAATTTTTTTTTTGCTTTATCTTAAAGAACAACTTCTTGAGAACATTTCCCCGCATTTTCGTAGAGATTTGAGCAGTAGAAAGAAAGTTACAGCGCTCCTAGCCGCGCGCCTCGTCCCCGCCCAAATCCAAACTTGAAACTTTAAACGCGAATACCTCGAAATGGTGTTTTTCGAAAAATGACTTTGCGGTGATATGGATTGGCGAAAAACTACTGAACCGATTTTCTTCAATTTTTTTTTTAATGTTCGTAATGAATTTTATTAGTACTTGAACGATCGTTTTTTCATTAATTTTCGCAACCTGTAATCGAAGTATCGAGAGCATTTCACTGGATCGGATTAAACGAGTTTTTTCGGAACTGGACAGAGCTGCCGCTTCTTCCTCGCTAATAGCCCTATTATCCAATAGAAGAGACAGGATAACTAAAACTTCATTCCACTTAGTTTCAGCAGCGGAAAGAGTTGGGAAATTGTCGAATCATAGGTATAACTTTTTTTTCTTCAATGAGCTGGTGCAGACCGTAAGCCTTTCAGGATGTGGTAGCCATCATCATGTTGCACAAGACGGTCAACAAATGATTCATCCCGCAGATTACCAGCGGTAACCGCTCCTGACTTTTTGCGTAAAGCAATTGAAATGGAATTTTGTATGCGCCGCATTTCGTAAAATTTATGCATGTATTAAACTTTTGGAACTACAGCGCAACGACGATCGTAAAAACGGATTTGGGATCTGACTTTTTTCGCATAGGTTGTATGTCCTTTGAATATTTCTCCGCAAGAAATAGTTGGAAAGGAAAGTTCCTCCGCGCCTTCGTCAAGCGTTAAGCTTGTTGGCCGAGTGATGTTGCTGGTGAAGAAGTTGCTCTACTGCTTCGCGATCAGATTCGTCCACAATAAAAGGAATTTCATTAATTCCTTGAAGTTCTGTTAGCCATGAATCGTTTAGTGAAATGTTGTGCTTTCTGTAGAGCTCGGTATTCACTAAGTACCGTACAGCTTCAAGGACCCGAGCGGGTCGAATAGTTACAGTCATGAAATTGTGAGCGTAGTCTAGTCTCCTTTTTAAATGGACTTGGATGACATGGCTAGCCTGGAATATATCGGAGTCCACAATATTGAGTCCATTTAAGCACTCAGGGATTTCTGGGAAGTCGAACCCATTAGCAAGGCAGAGTGATGGTAGTTTGCCAAGAGAGATGGCACGACGACAAGTGTGGCAAAAGATATATTTGCCGGACGGACTGGGAAATTTTCTTGACAAATAAAAGGCGTTGCCAACGTTTAGGAGAGGAAATTTAGAGGATAACGCCAGGATGTATAATCCACTACCTGCGAACGAAACCACATCAAATACAAATAGCCGTGATTCAGATCCCTCGCTGATGCTTGAATTCTATTTCGCTGTTGTCCTCGATCCTGTTCCATGTTTCGTTGCGACTGCCTTTGGGAGGCATCCAGTCGATTTTGGGGGTCCATCCAGAAGTTTAACAATCGATCCTCTGCCATTTGCCGAATTTGTTCTTCCTCCGCTGTTGTCGTGTTTCCCGGCGTTGTGATGTGTTTATCCGTTGCTCCTGTGATCTTGCGATGGGATTTCTCCTGGTTGCTCTCCTGTTATCGGCGTCCCTTTCCCGTTCTCGCTGCCTGTCTTCCGTATTCCTTCGTCGCTGTCGGTGCTCTCCAGTGCTCCTTTCCTGTTCCCTTGCCCGTTCCTTTGGGTCCTCGAGATGAGCAGCTCGCCCTGCAGCGTCCCGAATCCGCTCTGAAATTCGGGATTGTTCCTCCACAAGGCATGGTCAGCAGTATTTTGCACCTGCTCTTATCGCCGCTCCTCGGTGTCCGGAATAGTCATCCGAGTAGAGTGATCAGCTGTGTTTCGCATCTGCTCTCGTCGTCGCTCCTCGGGGTCCTCTCGACGGATCGCGTGTGCATCCATGTCCCGAATCCGTTCAGAAATTTGAAACTCCGGAATAGCCCTCCGAGTAGAGCTTTCAGCAGTGTTTCGCAACTGCTCTTTTCTTCGCTCCTCAGAGTCCTGTCGACGGGTTGCGCGTGCCTCCATATCCCGAGTCCGCTCTGAGACACGATAGTCCAGGTGCTGTCGGCGATTCGTATATCTTTCAGCATCCTGAACACGCTCCGCAGAACGCATTTCTGGGTTAGTCCTCCGAGACGCATGCTCAGCAGTGTTTTGCAACTGCTCTTGTCTTCGCTCCTCAGAGTCCTCCCGGCGAGTTGAATGCGGTTGTGCGTCCCGAATCCGTTCAAGGTCTTTGTCTTCTTCTCCGCGGCGGGCGTGCAGCGGAATCCTGAGCACGACTTTCCTCCCGAAAGTTAGGGTTATTGCCGCAAACTATATGGTGAGAGTTGCGAGCTCTTTTTTGGGACGCATTCCGTTGATAGCGGGCTCTACTGCGCCTTAAAGCGGCTTGGCGGCGTTGCTCCTGGGACAAGCGTGTTACACAAGGCATTTTTTTATAGTGCTGTATAAAAAAAATGAAAATTATGGAATGAATGCAGATAAAATCAGCTACTTGGAATGCCGTCCACGGGTATAATAGGATTTTAGGAGAAGTTGAAAGTTAAGGAGTTATTAGCAAAATATACTTACCAAAGTAAATATTAAATATTACTTAAAAGCACTTAAACAACACATATTTAAATTTTAGCACGCCATTAACGTACTTTTAATTTTTATCACGTGTAAAAATACTTTTGCACACTTTGAATTTGACCACTGATATAAATTACTTTGCACTGCTAAAAAATACTTCTGCTCTTTTAAATGCAAAAATACTTTTCACAAACTGACAGAGTAACGTCGTCACTCGATAAATTGTTTTATTGACTGATCTACGTATTAAAGGATATCTGAATATATAGCCCAGTTATTACCCAGTTATCCCAAATAAAAAAGAATTATCCCTTGACCATTTTTAGTTTGACCCTTTTTTAAAAAATGCAAAACAAATGCATGTTTGTTTGGTGTACCTGGGCTACCTGTTGTGCAATTTAGGTGTTATGAATAATGTTGGTCTTAATTTGTAGTGCTATTTTTTCCGATTCAACCATTGATTGGTTGAATAGTGAATACCTGATTTTGTACAGTCACTCTATAAATTGTACTGATTCCTGCGTTACCGGTTGCGCAATTCAGGTCCTTTGCACAATTCTGGCCCTTACACGTGTCCATTGGACCAATTGACGGTTTGCCAAATTTTATCTGTGATAATCTGTGATAATCCCTTGGATTTGTTTAAATGTCTCTGTTATCTAAAAAAAAATGTTCTATAACTTGTAAAGTAAAGATTCTGAATTTTTGGAGTGGTGATAGATATGGACTAAGTAAGTATTGGACATATTCCCCCCAATCTCTGGCCTCAACCAGGTCTCTGAAGTGTTTGATGAATTGTGGGCATTGGTGTGGGCATAGCAACATTTTTTAAATAAACTTTCACTGGGTAAGAAAACCTAGAATCTTCATGAGAAGTCTAAAATCTATAGCGTTTATAGTTTCGAGTTTAAGATCTCGTGATTTAATTTTTTAAGCTCGTTTTTTAGGGCTCCGCGCGTTACAAGCACTTCTTGGTGTCGTGTTGATCATGGTGCATTAACGTCAAAATAAACAAAAAAATCGTCCTTGAATCTTTTTCCATAGGTTTGCTTCCTCAGCCTGACTTGGTCGGCCAGCCTCGACATTTATCCTCGAGGAAGTAAGTATCCATGAAAGCTGTCGATAAAGTCTCCTTAGGGAGTGCCGATTGTTGGATATGAACAACTTTAAGTCTCTGCCCAGTAGCAGCTCCAACATTGCTTATGGGATCTGGTTTATATCGAAGCTCCTTCTTTTCTCGGCTATTTTCCCGCTGCCTGCCGTTGCTTGCGATGTTTTAAACATCCAGGCTTCGATCAAACCCTCGGCATTAGGGGTTGTAAGCTTGAACTTTGGTATGGGCAGCTTCCAGAATCCTCTTTCCAGATCTGGAAAATTTTACCGTGCTTAACGCCCGGTGTTATAAAGGGTATCTGACGCATTGTAGGGTCCAGTTGCCACAAGATCCAAAACAGTTTTATAATTTTGTTAACATAACACTAAGCGTAAATCAGCTCTACGGAATGTTAAAACTCCCCACAAAACCCGATGCAGGACAGCGGGCTGGCAACAGTAAAGGAGGGAGAATGCCGGATAAGTCAAGGGCATCCAGGTTGAACCGGGGAACCAGGTAATTGACCAAGGTAATAAAATGAGATAGTCCGTGACTTATAACGGAAGAAGCGTACAATGACACACATGCAGGACTACGCAGGAACTTGCTTTACGATAGAAACGATAAGCCCCTGTAGTTCCTGGAACAGGTAGAACGGTCGATAGTTACGGTCTTGACATAACCCAGGTCCCATGAGCAATGTCGAAGCTGCCACAGATCAGAGCCTTAAAGTGGTTCATAGCCAACAATCGGCACTGGGAGACTTGGGGAGACGTCATGGCAGAGAAACCTCAAATACGGATGGCAGACGGTCGGTGCGGGAACATAAAATAACTGCAAGAGATCAACATCGGACTTGGCTCGAGAACAACGTCAATGGAGCTGCTGATCCTACCAGGACTGATCGACTCTTAGTGTTAGAATGGAATTTTCTGACCAGAATCGGATCAGAAATGGAGTGCGCAAGACACTTTGTCGATACCAGCAAATGACGAACCCTTGAGGATGGCTGAAGAAAAACTGTCTGTGGCAATCGTGGAAACTTGGATGGGTTTGTAAGGGACGAGTTAGAGAAACTGGAGATCGAAAAGGCACATCTAACGTGACAGTATACACGGTCTCCAAAAAGGATGATCAGCCGCTCAAACAGCATTTTTTTTGTCGTATCAGGGTTATATTATCGTCATCCTCAAAGAAGTGTTCAGGAGACTGAGGGTGGCGAATTCGAAAGTAAACGCTGATAAGCGTAAGTTTTTCAAGGCGGAACTGCATTGGAGCTGACCAAAAATAGGTATCGACGATAGCCACGCTGGTGCATCCGCTGAACGCAATACCCCGGAAGAGTAAGAAATGGGTGTAGACGGACGACCATCAGCAGGCCTTTGAAGCCAGCGATTATGGGCTCGGTGCTATTAATTCAATTATCTCAGCCATACGGATTTTAAAGCCGTACTTGGAGGGCTACCACTTCAAAATGGTAACAGATCACATGACCCGGAAGTGGTTTAATAGGATCGATAGCCCAACCGGAAGAATCACACGATGAAAAGATCGTGAAACAACAAGGAAAGACCATGAAACAACGGTACCGATGGACCTTGCACCCTCACATGTCAAGGGCAACAAGGACAAACTGTAAGCTGGTGGACTTCGGACCTGCACAAAGAGGACGTACCGTGAATTAATTGTACAGCAGTGGGCCGTGGATCCGATCTCGAAGAGGGAAATATGAGACCCCCAGTGCCCTTAAAAGGCCGGCGCAAGCGTAGCTCAGTGACACTACGAGTGTCAGAGTCTCGGTGGAGCCGTCCCAATCTCAGACTCCGGTGAGCAGCAAGCCATGAGCGACGTTGCAGGAACCAGCAAAGATCGGCGTGGCAGCAGCCAGCGAGGAGCGACGCTGCAGGGGACAGCGACGAAGAGCAGCAGAAGCAGAAGCAATAAGGCTATAGTCATTTAGCGGTGCCCCCAGTCTGATTTATGCAGTCAGTGGCCTGTAAGGATATGTTATTACCATTCCCCTTTCGTACGGGAAAGTTAAAGTAGTTTGGACGTTCTTTTCAAACTGTGATAGGCCACTGCCAACTCATCACCTATATTCTTGCTGTTGTTTGTGAATTTGCGGGAGCTTTAAAAGTTGTGGATACCGCTTCCAGGTAACGCACACTGATGTGAAGTCCGTAGGCTTGACAGAATATCGTTACCGGTGTGAATCTCCTCGAACAACGTAACATAAGCGCCCCAAGCCAAGGTTTCGTCAGCCTAGGTGAGCACACGCCTAGAGAACATGGAGCAAGTTCGCGAAGTGTTGGCCGAGTGATGTTGCTGGTAAAGAAGTTGCTCTACTGCTTCGCGATCAGATTCATCCACAATAAAAGGAATTTCATTAATTCCTTGAAGTTCTGTTAGCCATGAATCGTTTAGTAAAATGTTGTGCTTTCTGTAGAGCTCGGTATTCACTAAGTACCGTACAGCTTCAAGGACCCGAGCGGGTCGAATAGTTACAGTCATGAAATTGTGAGCGTAGTCTAGTCTCTTTTTTAAATGGACTTGGATGACATGGGTAGCCTGCCTACATTCACCACTGCCCCTCTGATAAAAGGGATTCTCGGTGAAATAAGGTGTTCTTCGAGACAGTTGACTCCATTTAAGCACTCAGGGATTTCTGGGAAGTCGAACCCATTAGCACGGCAGAGTGATGGTAGTTTGCCAAGAGAGATGGCACGACGACAAGTGTGGCAAAAGTTATATTTGCCGGACGGACTGGGAAATTTTCTTGACAAATAAAAGGCGTTGCCAACGTTTAGGAGAGAGGAAATTTAGAGGATAACGCCAGGATGTATAATCCACTTACCTGCGAACGAAACCATGTTCCTCCACATCAAATACAAATAGCCGTGATTCAGATCCCTCGCTGATGCTTGAATTCTATTTCGCTGTTGTCCTCGATCCTGTTCTTCCTCCGCTGTTGTCGTGTTTCCCGGCGTTGTGATGTGTTTATCCGTTGCTCCTGTGATCTTGCGATGGGATTTCTCCTGGTTTCTCTCCTGTTATCGGCGTCCCTTTCCCGTTCTCGCTGCCTGTCTTCCGTATTCCTTCGTCGCTGTCGGTGCTCTCCAGTGCTCCTTTCCTGTTCCCTTTCCCGTTCCTTTGGGTCCTCGAGATGAGCAGCTCGCGCTGCAGCGTCCCGAATCCGCTCTGAAATTCGGGATTGTTCCTCCACAAGGCATGGTCAGCAGTATTTTGCACCTGCTCTTATCGCCGCTCCTCGGTGTCCGGAATGGTCATCCGAGTAGAGTGATCAGCTGTGTTTCGCATCTGCTCTCGTCGTCGCTCCTCGGGGTCCTCTCGACGGATCGCGTGTGCATCCATGTCCCGAATCCGTTCAGGCATTTGAAACTCCGGAATAGCCCTCCGAGTAGAGTGTTCAGCAGTGTTTCGCAACTGCTCTTTTCTTCGCTCCTCAGAGTCCTGTCGACGGGTTGCGCGTGCCTCCATATCCCGAGTCCGCTCTGAGACACGATAGTCCAGGTGCTGTCGGCGATTCGTATATCTTTCAGCATCCTGAACACGCTCCGCAGAACGCATTTCTGGGTTAGTCCTCCGAGACGCATGCTCAGCCGTGTTTTGCAACTGCTCTTGTCTTCGCTCCTCAGAGTCCTCCCGGCGAGTTGAATGCGGTTGTGCGTCCCGAATCCGTTCAAGGTCGCGAACCCTTTGTCTTCTTCTCCGCGGCGGGCGTGCAGTGGAATCCTGAGCACGACTTTCCTCCCGAAAGTTAGGGTTATTGCCGCAAACATTGGCTATATGGTGAGAGTTGCGAGCTCTTTTTTGGGACGCATTCCGTTGATAGCGGGCTCTACTGCGCCTTAAAGCGGCTTGGCGGCGTTGCTCCTGGGACAAGCGTGTTACACAAGGCATTTTTTTATAGTGCTGTATAAAAAAAAAATGAAAATTATGGAATGAATGCAGATAAAATCAGCTACTTGGAATGCCGTCCACGGGTATAATAGGATTTTAGGAGAAGTTGAAAGTTAAGGAGTTATTAGCAAAATATACTTACCAAAGTAAATATTAAATATCACTTAAAAGCACTTAAAAAACACATACTTAAATTTTAGCACGCCATTAACGTACTTTTAATTTTTTATCACGTGTAAAAATACTTTTGCACACTTTGAATTTGACCACTGATATAAATTACTTTGCACTGTTAAAAAATACTTCTGCTCTTTTAAATGCAAAAATACTTTTCACAAACTGACAGAGTAACGTCGTCACTCGATAAATTGTTTTATTGACTGATCTACGTATTAAAGGATATCTGAATATATAGCCCAGTTATTACCCAGCTATCCCAAATAAAAAAGAATTATCCCTTGACCATTTTTAGTTTGACCCTTTCAAAAAAGTGAATACCTGATTTTGTACAGTCACTCTATAAATTGTACTGATACCTGCGTTACCGGTTGCGCAATTCAGGTCCTTTGCACAATTCTGGCCCCTTGCACGTGTTCATTGAACCAATTGACGGTTTGCCAAATTTTATCTGTGATAATCTGTGATAATCCCTTGGATTTGTTTAATTGTCTCTGTTATCTAAAAAAAAAATGTTTTATAACTTGTAAAGTAAAGATTCTGAATTTTTGGAGTGGTGATAGATATGGACTAAGTAAGTATTGGACATATTCCCCCCAATCTCTGGCCTCAACCAGGTCTCTGAAGTGTTTGATGAATTGTGGGCATTGGTGTGGGCATAGCAACATTTTTTAAATAAACTTGCACTGGGTAAGAAAACCTAGAATCTTCATGAGAAGTCTAAAATCTATAGCGTTTATAAGTTCCGAGATTTCGACGTTCATACGGACAGGCTAACAGACGGAAAGATCTCGTGATTTAATTTTTTAAGCTCGTTTTTTAGGGCTCCGCGCGTTACAAGCACTTCTTGGTGTCGTGTTGATCATGGTGCATTAACGTCAAAATAAACAAAAAAATCGTCCTTGAATCTTTTTCCATAGGTTTGCTTCCTCAGCCTGACTTGGTTGGCCAGCCTCGACATTTATCCTCGAGGAAGTAAGTATCCATGAAAGCTGTCGATAAAGTCTCCTTAGGGAGTGCCGATTGTTGGATATGAACAACTTTAAGTCTCTGCCCAGTAGCAGCTCCAACATTGCTTATGGGATCTGGTTTATATCGAAGCTCCTTCTTTTCTCGGCTATTTTCCCGCTGCCTGCCGTTGCTTGCGATGTTTTAAACATCCAGGCTTCGATCAAACCCTCGGCATTGGGGGTTGTAAGCTTGAACTTTGGTATGGGCAGCTTCCAGAATCCTCTTTCCAGATCTGGAAAATTTTACCGTGCTTAACGCCCGGTGTTATAAAAGCTATCTGACGCATTGTAGGGTCCAGTTGCCACAAGATCCAAAACAGTTTTATAATTTTGTTAACATAACACTAAGCGTAAATCAGCTCTACGGAATGTTAAAACTCCCCACAAAAACCGATGCAGGACAGCGGGCTGGCAACAGTAAAGGAGGGAGAATGCCGGATAAGTCAAGGGCATCCAGGTTGAACCGGGGAACGAGGTAATTGACCAAGGTAATAAAATGAGATAGTCCTGGACTTATAACGGAAGAAGCGTACAATGACACACATGCAGGACTACGCAGGAACTTGCTTTACGATAGAAACGATAAGCCCCTGGAGTTCCTGGAACAGGTAGAACGGTCGATAGTTACGGTCTTGACATAACCCAGGTCCCATGAGCAATGTCGAAGCTGCCACAGATCAGAGCCTTAAAGTGGTTCATAGCCAACAATCGGCACTGGGAGACTTGGGGAGACGTCATGGCAGAGAAACCTTCGAGGACTATATGGTGGACATGCAGACCCAGAGTTCTCATAGGAGACGCAACAGGATACGGACAGGCTGAAGGGGCAGAAAGGGTCGGACACATGAGAAGTCAAATACGGATGGCAGACGGTCGGTGCGGGAACATAAAATAACTGCAAGAGATCAACATCGGACTTGGCTCGAGAAAAACGTCAATGGAACTGCTGATCCTACCAGGACTGATCGACGCTTAGTGTTAGAATGGAATTTTCTCACCAGAATCGGATCAGAAATGGAGTGCGCAAGACACTTTGTCGATACCAGCAAATGACGAACCCTTGAGGATGGCTGAAGAAAAACTGTCTGTGGCAATCGTGGAAACTTGGATGGGTTTGTAAAGGACGAGTTAGAGAAACTGGAGATCGAAAAGGCACATCTAACGTGACAGTATACACGGTCTCCAAAAAGGATGATCAGCCGCTCAAACAGCATTTTTTTTGTCGTATCAGGGTTATATTATCGTCATCCTCAAAGAAGTGTTCAGGAGACTGAGGGTGGCGAATTCGAAAGTAAACGCTGATAAGCGTAAGTTTTTCAAGGCGGAACTGCATTGGAGCTGACCAAAAATAGGTATCGACGTTAGCCACGCTGGTGCATCCGCTGAACGCAATACCCCGGAAGAGTAAGAAATGGGTGTAGACGGACGACCATCAGCAGGCCTTTGAAGCCAGCGATTATGGGCTCGGTGCTATTAATTCAATTATCTCAGCCATACGGATTTTAAAGCCGTACTTGGAGGGCTACCACTTCAAAATGGTAACAGATCACATGACCCGGAAGTGGTTTAATAGGATCGATAGCCCAACCGGAAGAATCACACGATGAAAAGATCGTGAAACAACAAGGAAAGACCATGAAACAACGGTACCGATGGACCTTGCACCCTCACATGTCAAGGGCAACAAGGACAAACTGTAAGCTGGTGGACTTCGGACCTGCACAAAGAGGACGTACCGTGAATTAATTGTACAGCAGTGGACCGTGGATCCGATCTCGAAGAGGGAAATATGAGACCCCCAGTGCCCTTAAAAGGCCGGCGCAAGCGTAGCTCAGTGACACTACGAGTGTCAGAGTCTCGGTGGAGCCGTACCAATCTCAGACTCCGGTGAGCAGCAAGCCATGAGCGACGTTGCAGGAACCAGCAAAGATCGGCGTGGCAGCAGCCAGCGAGGAGCGACGCTGCAGGGGACAGCGACGAAGAGCAGCAGAAGCAGAAGCAATAAGGCTATAGTCATTTAGCGGTGCCCCCAGTCTGATTTATGCAGTCAGTGGCCTGTAAGGACATGTTATTACCATTCCCCTTTCGTACGGGAAAGTTAAAGTAGTTTGGACGTTCTTTTCAAACTGTGATAGGCCACTGCCAACTCATAACCTATATTCTTGCCTAAGAAGTCCCTATTGCTGTTGTTTGTGAATTTGCGGGAGCTTTAAAAGTTGTGGATACCGCTTCCAGGTAACGCACACTGATGTGAAGTCCGTAGGCTTGACAGAATATCGTTACCGGTGTGAATCTCCTCGAACAACGTAACATAAGCGCCCCAAGCCAAGGTTTCGTCAGCCTAGGTGAGCACACGCCTAGAGAACATGGAGCAAGTTCGCGAAGTGTTGGCCGAGTGATGTTGCTGGTAAAGAAGTTGCTCTACTGCTTCGCGATCAGATTCGTCCACAATAAAAGGAATTTCATTAATTCCTTGAAGTTCTGTTAGCCATGAATCGTTTAGTGAAATGTTGTGCTTTCTGTAGAGCTCGGTATTCACTAAGTACCGTACAGCTTCAAGGACCCGAGCGGGTCGAATAGTTACAGTCATGAAATTGTGAGCGTAGTCTAGTCTCTTTTTAAATGGACTTGGATGACATGGGTAGCCTGGAAGCGCAGTCACAATATCGGAAACTGAAATTGGAACATTCACCACTGCCCCTCTGATAAAAGGGATTCTCGGTGAAATAAGGTGTTCTTCGAGACAGTTGAGTCCATTTAAGCACTCAGGGATTTCTGGGAAGTCGAACCCATTAGCAAGGCAGAGTGATGGTAGTTTGCCAAGAGAGATGGCACGACGACAAGTGTGGCAAAAGTTATATTTGCCGGACGGACTGGGAAATTTTCTTGACAAATAAAAGGCGTTGCCAACGTTTAGGAGAGGAAATTTAGAGGATAACGCCAGGATGTATAATCCACTTACCTGCGAACGAAACCATGTTCCTCCACATCAAATACAAATAGCCGTGATTCAGATCCCTCGCTGATGCTTGAATTCTATTTCGCTGTTGTCCTCGATCCTGTTCTTCCTCCGCTGTTGTCGTGTTTCCCGGCGTTGTGATGTGTTTATCCGTTGCTCCTGTGATCTTGCGATGGGATTTCTCCTGGTTGCTCTCCTGTTATCGGCGTCCCTTTCCCGTTCTCGCTGCCTGTCTTCCGTATTCCTTCGTCGCTGTCGGTGCTCTCCAGTGCTCCTTTCCTGTTCCCTTTCCCGTTCCTTTGGGTCCTCGAGATGAGCAGCTCGCGCTGCAGCGTCCCGAATCCGCTCTGAAATTCGGGATTGTTCCTCCACAAGGCATGGTCAGCAGTATTTTGCACCTGCTCTTATCGCCGCTCCTCGGTGTCCGGAATAGTCATCCGAGTAGAGTGATCAGCTGTGTTTCGCATCTGCTCTCGTCGTCGCTCCTCGGGGTCCTCTCGACGGATCGCGTGTGCATCCATGTCCCGAATCCGTTCAGGCATTTGAAACTCCGGAATAGCCCTCCGAGTAGAGTGTTCAGCAGTGTTTCGCAACTGCTCTTTTCTTCGCTCCTCAGAGTCCTGTCGACGGGTTGCGCGTGCCTCCATATCCCGAGTCCGCTCTG